CAGAAGGACTGATTTCTCATTTATTTTAACTACTTCTGAAATGCTTCAAAGCCTGGTTTTCAGGGGTTTATTTGATTTGGCAAGTTCTTGGGGTTTTCTTGGGCTTTTCTTTGTCTGGGGGGTGGGTGGGTTGGTTGTTTTTACAGTTACTTGTCTCATAGACTTGGTGCTTTTCCCAGGAGAACATTGATTTGCCTAGACACAAAATCACTGGAGAATATCTTAATCTGGGGATAAAAATACTCCCCTGAGAAGGATGCAGGATGAGTTTGTACTTTTTTTTTAAGAGTTTCAGGCCCAAAACGAGCAGTTTCAGCCAAATTTTCTAAGTGACTGAGGAACCCTTTTCTCCAAATGTGCTCCCCTGAGGCAGTTTCAAATCCCCAGTTGTGATTCAGTTTTCTGAAATGATTCTAAAGGAATTAAATTCTTTTTGGCCATCATCTAGGCAACTGCTGCCACAGATAACATCGATTTTAAGAAGGTAAATGAGAAGGATATGAAAGGGCCACCTGTGAGCAAAAGGTATTTTTCATTTTCAGTAGTCTCTGAATTTTTGTTACTAGTTTTCTGTTTCTGTGGAAGAGTTCAGTGTCCTCTCTCCTGGCAGGGATGGGAACAAATGATTAAATGTGGAAAATGTTCCGTTCCAACACTGCAAACTGTAATTTGTCCTGATGGTCTAAAATGTCCAGATTATGGAATACCTTCCATATTTTTGTTTTCAGGGAGAGAAAAATATTTGATGAAGAAATCCAGCAAAGGCAAAAGTGCAAGGCCAAGCCTCAGTCTGCGGAAAGCTGAGGGGTGGCACCGGTAGCCCCAGAATTACATAGGGAAAATAAGAAACAGGAATTTTGGAGTGGGATCAAACCAGTTTGGGGTGGGATTGAGCCATTTTCAGTGGGATTGATCCACTTTGAGGTGACAGATTGATCCCTCTCGACTTTTGGGATGCAGAGCTGGGAGAGACTGGAATGTTAATGGTCCATGGCTCCAACACTCTCCAGTTGCAGAAGCAGTGGGGGTTTTGCTGCCCAAGGGCAATGGAACCGCCCAGGGCAGAGGGGGAACACCCAGCCCTGGAGGGGACAGGCTGGGCTTGGAGCCAGAGAGGGGAAGTGTTATTTTTATGGTTTTATATCACTATGGACAGGAGCCAAAACTGCCCCAAACCTACTTTACATGGAGACAAAATTGTTCTAAACTAAACCCTACAGATAGATAGATAGATAGATAGATAGATAGATAGATTGATTGATAAACTATCCCGGGGAGGGGTGGCGGAGCCTGTCCATGAACCTAATGGGCAGTGGCAGCTGACAGTGAGTTACCTCGGTGCTGACACTGGCTCACAAATAGCTGCTGGACATAACAAAGCTGAATTGATTGCTCAGATTGCTGATGTCACCACAGTGGACCAGACAAATACTATCACCCACCTGGAAAGTCTGAGACTTCAAATTCCCACAGAAAAAGTAGCAATGTGTATTCCCTCTGACACCTTGGCCACCCTAGAGCAAAGAAAGATGCTGAGGTGTAAAAAGGAGCTCCAGCATGCTCTGGGTTTATTTGTTTTTTGGAGAAAACATGTTCCAGACTTCTCCATTATTGCTGCCCTAGTGGCATCATGCCAGATAAGAAAAGGAGCTGGGTAAATAGATAATTCCTTCTTTTTAATAACGGGTCCGTAGTGGGCCAGATTTCCTCTTTTTGCAGGAACCTGCCAGCAGATGAGATCAAACTGCGTGAGAGCGATAAAGCTTTCAATTGCTGCAATGGGCAGAAGAGAGAACTGCCCCCACAACTGCTTCTGTTATCAGTTTACAAGGATGCCATGAGAAAACGAAGCAGCAACAGGACTGGAGAGTTGTACTGTTCTTTGCAGTGCTGATGGTTTGCATGTGTTTGTGTTTTTATCTTAATAACTTTGTGATATGCACGTCTGTGTGTATTTTTGTCTCAAGAGTTTTGCAGTATGTAAAACTTATCACAAACATTGTGTTTGTGTCTCCTCTAGTCTCAAAATTGCTTGTATGATCAGCTTATTAATTATTGTTGACTTCTTTGTGTTTTTATCATGAGCAACTCACTGGTAAGACAAGTCCTTTTATGTATTGCTAGTTTAATTTTTGCCAAGTTTATTTTGTCTTTTTATTGAAAAACAAGTTGGCTTGGGAGAAGCTTTTAGATATGTATAATTCTGTCTCAATCAATTGAGAAACAAGAAACTCAACCAAATTTGACCTGGGGTTTGGTACAAGAATTTATGCATATTTGGAATCATACAGATATGTATTAGATGCATTAACCCTCTGCCTCAGAAGACATCAAATTTTATATTTGGCTAAATTTCTCAAAATATTACCAAATGAAACTAAATCTAGACAAAGCAAAAGAAAGTGTTATCTGAAGAGAATATAAGAAAGCCTTGTACCAACTCCCAAGTAACTCAATGTATTTGCAGAAGAACTGATGTGTAATTTCAGGTCCAATTTCAAGACACATTGGCCCCTCTAACAGACACATTATTATAGAATCCCTCACACCCACCACGCATTAAAGGATACCCTGATTACTCGTGGGGTGGAGAGAATGACTAATGAAAATTAGATTTGTGTCAGTATTAAATCCTGATGTTTGTAACTTTGTTAATGTTAGGAAATTTGATTGTAGCTATTGAGATCCTGTTATGTCCCATATGCTTACTATTTTACTATAAGGTTTGTTTTTTTCTGGGGAATTGCATTGCATTGGGAATAGATTTGTGCTCTCTCTTGCTTTTCTTTTCTCTTCTCTCTTTCTGTTCACTGTACGAAAGACACTGCCCACAAAGAAGGTTCACAGTAAACAACAAAAGACAAATAATTGAATGCATAAATCACAGGGTGGTGTCAGAGACTGAAATGGTTCATGATTTATGCACTCTAGGATTGCCAAAGGACTCTTGCAGGCTCTTGCAGGACTTTTGCATTAGACCTCTGATGGCCCATCAAAGCCCATTCCCCCCTCTGCCAATCCTGAAAGGCAGGAAAAACCCTTTTCCCAGGCCCCTCACAGGAACTCTGCGCAGGCCCAGGAGATGTTGGGGGTTCGTGGCATGGCCCAGGACACCATCCATGGATATAATAACTCATAACTTCTTGGAGTGTGGGGGCTTCCCTCCCCCACCCCCAACGGATCAAGGCCACCACTTCAACTGACAGACATTGGAGCTGCAACTCCCAAGTTCCATCTCTGGACCCCATGGGTGGTGACTATAGACATCTTTCCACTCTCAGCTTTGCTTTCCCTTACTCTCCCTTACCTTTATCCTGTCTTTCCTTTCTCTCCCTTATGCATTTTCCCTAAAGGTTCTCTTTATGCCATATTGCTGTACAGGAGAGATAGAGATGATAACACCCAAAATGGCAACATACCTGTTTAACTTGGAAACAAAATTGTGCTAAAATAAACATTATCTATATATGTTTTCAAACAGCAATTATTCAATGTCATTTCACTCTAATCCACCCCAAGGGATTTATTAATAAGAACCTGGGTTACCCTCCCCTTTCTGGGGTGGGTGGTAACAGACCCCTTGTAGCAGGATGTTCTGCCTGGAAAAGAATCTGATGGGAGAATGCAAGCACTGCAAGCTCTCTGTGGGGAGTTACTGCTGGTGCCAATGGGTTGGTTTAGTGTTGAATGGTGCCAAACCCAGCCTGGTTTCCCAACCTTCCAACACACATCCTGCTTTTGGAAGCAGAGTTTGACAGATCAGCTGCTCACTGGCTTGGGAAAATGTGACTGGCAATCCATCAGTGGATAAGCATAAAAGCCCAGGGCCAACTTTCATAGAGCAGATTCTTCCACAGACTTTGTTGAAGTGTGTGGAGCTTCTGCTGTGAAGCAGGGACGCCTCTTGATGGTCACTGCCCAGGGGGTGAAAGAAAGAGAGAGCTCTACCTTGATTTATTTCTATCAGACACCACCAGGTCCTCCCCGCTTCCTGCCGGGATCGGACACCGCCGGCAGCCCCGGCCCTGCTGGGCTCCATCAGCCTGAGGAATTGCTGCCAAGGAGGGGCCGGGGGCTTCCTCTTGGGCTTCGTCTCCCTGGCGCTGGGGCTCAGTTTCTACCTGTGCCAGAAGGTGAGGGGGGTCCCAGGGGGTCGTGTGTCCCCCCAGAGCGTCTGTGCCCCCCCGGGGACCCCCCACCCGGTGTCACCCCCTTTTCTCTCCCCACAGAGCTCCTGAGCTGCCGGCAGCTGCAGCCCCTCCCTGGGGCCTCGGGCCCAACCTGGATCCCCTCCCCATCCCTGCATGTATTTTGGGGAGGTTGTGTGTCCCCCCCTCTCCTGCTGTCACTCTGCCTCCGCCCAGCTTCTCCCAGTGATCCCAGGAAAGCTTCCCAGTTCTCCCAAGTCCCGGTTACTGGGGGGCAGTGGGGGAGGGGGGGATCCCAAAGGTGGCATGCGAGCTGGGGAGGGGCAGAACTGGTCCTGGGATGGATCGTGAATGGGGACCTCCCTGTGTCCCTTGTTGCCGTGGGATGTACGTGCTGAAAAAAATCTCTCGGAGCAGTTAATTAGGGGTGAGATAAGAAAGGGTTTATTTGCCAAGGCAGAAAATGTTACAAGACGAGCGGCCCCCTGTGCCCCAGATGTTACATTTTATAATACCATCTATCCAATCCCAAATGTGTCCACCCTGTGGCCTTTACTCTGAACCGCCCCAGGTCCACCCCGTGAAAAGGGGTCTGGGGTGTATTTTGGGACCCTCTGTTCATCCCATTTTCATCTTCTTCAGAGCACAAAGGGTACATAGTTACCTAATTCTTGACCGTATTCTGTGGTTTAGGCCAAGATACGCTGTTCTGTCAACAATCTAGGCCTTGCCTTGACAAAAGACTAAACATTTCTACTGGATTAGGGGGTAGGAATGATACAGGGAGCATAGAATGGGGTAAGAGGGTTAAGGAATGTGTAAACAAGGGCGCTACAGGGAAAGGGATGTAAGGGAGGGAGTGAGGGTTGCTGCTTTTAGAGTCTACTTCCACTAAACTACTGAAAGTCACTGGACTCCAGGGGTTGCCTCACCATCAGGGGCTTCATTCAGGGTGGAAGCAGTGGCCAAAGTTCTTCCTGCAGTCAGGGCTTCCCTTACAAGTGGGTCCGTTGGTGTTTGGTCAAGCCAGAGCTGTCGGTGAAGCTCTTCCCACACTCCCCACACTTGTCGGGCCTCTCCCCGGTGTGGATGCGCTGGTGGGTTTTGAGGGCGGAGTTCTGGTTGAAGCCCTTCCCGCAGTCACTGCAGCGAAAGGGCCTCTCATCCGTGTGTGTCCGTTGGTGCTGGATGACATGTGAGCTGCGTTTAAACCTCTTCCCACACTCCCCACACTTGTAGGGCCTCTCCCCGGTGTGGATGTGTCGGTGGGTGACAAGGGTGGAGTTCTGGTTGAAGCCCTTCCCGCAGTCGATGCAGTGGAAGGCCCACTCCCCTGTGTGTGTTGGCTTGTGCTTCAGGAGATCTGAGCTGGTCTGAAACCCCTTCCCACATTCCAAGCACTTGAAGGGCCGTTCCCCGGTATGGATGAGCTGGTGGGAGCGGAGGCTGGAGCTGACCCTGAAGCTTTTCCCACACTCCACACACTTGTAGGGTTGTTCCCCGGTGTGAATGCGACGGTGCACGTGGAGGCTGGACCTGTACCTGAAGCTCTTCCCACACTCCCCACATGTGTGGGGCCGTTCCCCAGTGTGGGGTTGTTCCCCAGTGTGCATGCGTTGGTGGGTGAGGAGGCAGGAACTTTGACTGAAGCTCTTCCCACATTCCCCACACGTGTGGGGCTGTTCCCCGGTGTGGATGCGCTGGTGCCGGATCAGGCTGGAGCAGTAACTGAAGCTCTTCCCACATTGCCCACATGTGTATGGACGTTCCCCAGTGTGGATGTGCTGGTGGGTGAGGAGGGTGGTGCTTGTCCTGAAACCCTTCCCACATTCCCCACACATGTAGGGCTGTTCACCAGTGTGGATGCGCTGGTGTTTGCGGAGGCTGGAGCTTTGGTTGAAGCTCTTCCCACATTCCCTACACAGGTAGGGCCGTTCCCCAGTGTGGATGTGCTGGTGTCGGATCAGGCTGGAGCTCTGCCTGAAGCTCTTCCCACATTCCAAGCACCTGAAGGGCTTCTCCCTGCTGGGAGGCTGCTCAGAGTTCCCCCTCAAGCTCCGGCCGCCTTCCCAGCACAGGCTGGCTCTTTCCTCCTCAGAGCACCCTGGGATGGCTTTGGAGCCCCTCCTGCGGGGGGATCTCCGGCCCTTTTCCTCCCCGCTGCCTTCCTGCGCCGGGGAGCCCTTCAAAACGGCCTCTCCCACCAGGGTCTCACGGGGGGATTTGTCCTCCGGGCTCTCCGTCCTCAGCTCGGGGCCTGGGGCAGGAAGCAAGAAGGACAGGGAGGGGATTTGCCTCCGGCCCACAGGGAAGGCCAAGGACATCCCCCCAACTCCGGCCCCGGCAGGACGGCGGCGGCAGCGGGGTTGTCCTGCAGCCGGGGCCATGCTCGGCTGACAGAGCCAGCACAACACCCGCCCAAAGGGCCACTGACTTCCTCCTCACCTGCCTGGGGGGCCCAAGGCATCTTCCTCTTCCTCGCAGCCTCCTCCTCCATCCGCCCAAGCTTTGGGAAGGACAAATC